ACCACCCTTTTCGCATTTACTTATGCTAAAAGACTGTATCATCCTTTCTCAATACAATTCTATGTCTAGAATCTAAGCGTTGTGAGTCAAGCATCTTGATGTAGACAAGAATAATCGTATGTTAAATCTTCTAAGTCTAAATCTATTCATCCTGAAACTGCCCAAAGTCCTGATGACAACCGCTATCTAAGGTTCTCGGCCTTGAGTTTGAGCCTGCTGTATAGTACTTATTGATCTCAAGCAATCCTTCTTTTGAATTGGGCCCGTCTGTGCACACAGTTCCTTACAAATTTGTATGCTTTTGACTAAAACGACCATCATATTCTGGTAATATAATAAAATTGCACCATGTACATATTCTATATGGTATTGTGGATAAAGAGTTAACGTTTGACGATAACGTAAGCAATCACGAAAGGTCTCTCCAGGATTAAATATGTTGATCAATGTTGTAAATAAAAGAAACAAATTCACATATGAATTTTGAGGGCTGGACTATCATTTTCATGAACAATAAATAGATTCCATCTTTATGAGAGAAAAGTTGCAACTTCGATTTAGACGAGTTTCGCCGTTTAATTATTCCCCCCTCTGTGCATCACATAGATCTAATATCACTTCAAGCATCTCCTGATTTCGAGATTTGTTATTGTTAAACAACCTCACATTATCAATCAGTAGAACAAATTTCAATGTTCAATGATTTATTTGGTACTATGTTTAAATGCTACCAATTCCAAAATACCTATGCGAACCTATACATTTATAATTGTTTGTTTGTACGATTTCACAAGAGCGACTTGGAGCGAAGCCACAATTATAGTTGTGTATGCGCATTTCCATAGCGACCCTCCACCCCTTTGGGAATTCTCGATCGATCTTCTCATAGCCACTCCTACATACTCCTCCACTCATTCGTTTTTTCCTTTGCATATCTACCAAGTAAATTTTCTTTTCAAATAACTTTTAGTCCTCTTGTTCGGTGCGCTTTCATTTATGTGTTTTTAGAGAATATCAATTATGAGCGACCGAGATAATCAGGATGAACAAAAAGAGGATATCGTAGAGAAGGATGTCACTCCCGATTATTCGAAATACACAGAGGATAGTGTCCCTCCTGAAGAAAGAGTGAGTTTGTGATTGAAGTTATCATTGGAATGTCTAAATAAGAACAGTTACCTACTAGCGCAGCATTTCCCTTTCGGAAAAAAATTCGAAGAAGCCAACTGCAGCTTGAAACTGATTTATCTGCAAATAAGATTCTGAGCACTTTCTGATGCATAGTG